TGGAGAGTGCCGTAATGTCTGTTAGACAGAGCACTCCGCAAAATTTCCTGTTGCAATTTCATCCAAACTTGACAGGGTGCTTGACAAGTCCATTAAATGATTAAGTTAGGTGTAAAGTTAAGTGGTTTAAGCCGTATGATGGTGCAGATTGTAGTAAAGTACATAAATCTTGTAGTAGCACCTCTGTACATAGCATATTCTGTTTGTATAACAGAAAGAAACGTGCGTGTTCCTTAAAAATTGGCTGATTTAGGGAATTGTCACGTGCATTGTGACGTAATTTGCGCTTAAGAAAGTTTTGTGTCTATCACATAAAGTTTCATTTGCGCGATGTCACCATTTTTTTGTTTCCCCAAGAAAATAGTTCAGATGACTTAACTTTTATCAGGCGATGCTTACCTCATTCGAAAGTACGTTTAATATAATTTACTGTAGATTTAGGATTTATTTAACACAATTTAGTAAGTAAAGCTTTTGTTGAGTAGACTTAACGGTTTTATTGGATTCAGTTTTATCTCATCATTGTTGCCAGCTTAATTTCATGTATTTCTTTTTTTCCTTGACAGAATTGAGGACGAACATGTATTGTCAATGGGAAAGGATGAATGGTTAAACGCTCCTAATTTTCCTTTCATAATTTTAATAATAAGTAGGTATTTATAGAATTTTTTGAGAGTTAAAGGAAATTTTTTAAATTCAAAAAATATACCCTTTTAAAAATTTAAAAAATAGAAAAAATTTTTGTTTTTTTTTCTTTTTTCATGGGCAACACTGAGTATGTATAGGTCATATTGCGACTGTTCAGCTTTATTACTGTTGTACAGCGTTCACCGGAAATTTCCTCCAAAACATCGAAAACGAAAGTAAAAAGCACAGGAACTTGAAATTTAATCAATAGATCACAAAATATGCGTGTATTAGTGATATAGCCCTTATCTCTATATAAAAAACACCAGGAATGCAACGAACAAAAAAACGAATATGCCAACCCAACCTGAATTTAGCACTTTAACAAAGAAAAATCTTAATGTCATTCCGATTAATAATAGAGATAAGGGCTATATCACTAATACACGCATATTTTGTGATCTATTGATTAAATTTCAAGTTCCTGTGGTAAAAAGTGTACGTCGAGTTCACCCGAGGTAATGTTTCAACTTATTTCTCCATCATAACTTAATCGATTTTTACAAACTAAACAAATTTGTGAAGCTGAATATATCTGGTTTTAAGGAAGTATTTGCTTTTTCGGCAAAATGAATACTTTTTGTTAATTTGGCGATAAATTGTAGTGTTTTTGTTGACATTTGCCATGATTTGCGAACGATGTTGATATTTACCACTAAATCAAGTCCAAAACGCATTTTCTGTATCAAAATCCGTCTTTAGTACAAAATATAGACAGTCTTGCCTTGTGTACAGAGTCTAGCAGCTCTAGTTGATGGGTGACCACTGAAATATAAGTGGAGGGAAGTCTATAGTTTTTATCAAAGGCGAATTAGTTTTGATACAGAAAATGCTTTTTGGGCTTGATTTACTGGTAAAAGTCAACACCGTTGGCAAATGTCAACAAATACGCTACAATTTATCGCAAACTTAACAAAAAGTACATTTTGTATTCAATTTGCAGAATAAAAAGAAAAGAATTCTGTAAAACCAGTTATATTCAGCTTCACAAAATTGTTTGTAAAAATCGATTAGTGATGGAGAATTAAGTTGAAACATTACCTCGGGTGAGCTCCACGTACACCTTTTTACTTTCGTTATCGATTATTTTGAGGGGCTGCTTCCGGTGAACACTGTACAACAGTGTTTATTGGTGGATAAAGACCTCATGTTACCCTTTGAGTAGCACAACTGACAATCTGCTAGCTCGACTGGAAAGCCAGTAACAATAAAAATCAGATTATTGAAATGTATGGGTATCGTATGTCTGGCTGTCCGGACTACTCACTACTGGTGCAATTTCATCCAAACTTTAAAGAAATTATCAATACAAAGTCTAGTTGTGTATTTCGTTGGCATTTTCCAGTTCATTGATTTTTGACACAGTTACGGCCCTTAAATGATTTTTATTTTTAAAGTTTGTCCGGACTACTCCTCTTATATCAATTGAAACTTTACTGGATTGATTGGTAGCTCGAAAACTTACACGGGTTGTCCGCTTGATTAATTTTTGGCTGAGTTATAGCCCTTAAACAAAAAGGTTTTTTGAGCTCATCTGATGACAATGTCCTAAAGGTGAGCTTGTGGCTAGAGGGACAATAGGTAACTGTTCTTTCGCTTTGATGTTACAGTCAATGCGAAAGTCAAAAAAAATTGCCAGCCACAAGGACTGGGATCCTTAGACTTATTTCCGGCCCTGATGATTTTTCCCGGCCCGGACTCTGAAAGGTACAAAGGTTGGAGAAAAAATATTTTTTGGTAAGGAAATTATCCAAGACAAGATGGTGGCTTACATTACTTAGCAAAAATTGGTTGTATCTTTTGGTGATTTTGGTTATCTGGGTCTGTGAATACAAGCAAAAATGGAAAAAAGGTCATCTTGGAAGTTTTACATATTTTAGGCCAAAAATTGTTTCAAACTAGCTGAAGTTTTGTTCGGACATGAGGACTGACTGTATCAAAATTTATCTCGGTCCTCCTTATTTTTATTTGGCGAGGTCCGAGGACTGACAGACTTTCGTACAGACTGATGTTATTCATTCCGTAATGATTTAATGTGGCTATTTTCTTTTGCGTGGCTAAAAAGAACAATAGAGAGAACAATATAGTAGCCACATTATTACTGTCCCGTTAGAAAGTCCGTCTGGCGTGCGTCAACAATTTATTTAAACAACTTCTGCTCTTAAACCGCATGGCCAAATTTGTTGAAACTTTGCAGGGATGGTTTTTGTTTGAAGATCTACCAAATTTGGGTAAAGAATTAAATACCATAAAGAACTCTGGTTGCCATGGCAATCAAAAGATTTTGTTTATAAAAAATCTTCTAGTAAAAAAAAAGTGCTAGAGCTTAGATATTTGGCATAAAACATCTTGACCCAAGGGTCAAAATTGGCCTCGGCCCAGGGGTCATTGATTTTCCTTATATATACATGTATGTAGTAAAAACTTAAAAAATCTTCTTGCAACAATAAAAAAGAGCTAGATCATAGATATTTGGCAACAAACATCTTCTAGTAAATGTCTACCATGTCTGTTCAAATAAAAGCCCTAGGGTCAAATTTGGCCCCGCCCCAAGGGTCATTGATTTTCCTTATATATATATAGTAAAAACATAAAAATTCTGTGACAATCCCAAACAGGTAGAGTTTAGGTATTTGGCATGAAACATGTTCTAGTGTATGTGTACCATGTTTGTTAAACATAAAACCCCTAGGGTCAAAATTGGCCCGCCCCAGGTGGGGGTGGGGTCATAGATTTTACTTATATGTATACATAAAAACCTTAAAAAACTTCTTGTGATTATAGATAAGATATTTGGCATGAATCATCTTCTAGTAAATGTCTACCAAGTTTGTTCAAATAAATGCCCTAGGGTCAAAATTGGCCCCGCCCCAGAGGGTCATTGATTTTCCTAATATGTATATAGTATTAACTAAAAGATAATCTGCTTGTGAAAATCCAAAAGAGCTAAAGCTTAGATATTTGACCTGAAGCATCTTCTAGTGGTTGTCTACCAAATTTGTTCAAATAAAAGCCCTAGGGTCGAATTGGCCCAGGGGTCATTGATTTTCCTTATATGTATGTAGTAAAAACCTAAAAAAAGTTCTTCTGAAAATCCAAAAGAGGTAGAGCATGACAAATCTAAACAACATTTAAAACACTGGTTCAATTTTGAAATAATTTTACACTAAAATTGCCTTGGTGAAAGTGTTTTCAAATTGTTATTCTGGGGTGGAAAGGAGCTCCATTTTGACCTTTTGACCTATTTCTCAGGTGAGCGATCCAGAGCCCTCTAGGCCAGATAAACAGGGACTTGTTCAGTTTACTCCTCAGAAACTACTGGTGCAATTTCATCCAAACTTTACAGGAATGATCAGTACTAAATGTAGTTGTGCATATTATTTTTTTAAGTATTTTAAGGTTCAATGATTTTATATAGTTATGACCTTTTAATGTCTTTTATCTTTTTAAGTTTTGTTCGGACTACTTGTCTTATACTACTTATGCATTTTATATGAAACTTTACAGGATTGATAGGTTCCTCAAGTACTTGCATATATTAAACGGTTTTCCAGTTGTATAACTTTTGGCTGGGTTATAGCCCTTGTATAAAAATGCGTTTTGCCTTGTTAATGATTTTTGTGTCTTCTGCTACATAGTAGTTGCAACATGCAAATGGCTATCATGAGGCGCCACATGTGATCACTGATGGCTCTTGTTACATATTCACAGTCATGATTATAATACAAGCTATTATTGTGAACTTTATCAAGCATAAAAAGATGTGCTTATCAAATTGATGTATATATTTCAATGCTATTTATAATATTATAACGTTAAATGCAATAAGAGGTAGTTAGTTATATATTCTCAGTCATGTTATACTAATCTGAAAAGCCTGAACTAGAAGATTTTTATTTCTTCCCAGGCTTGAGTGATTAATCACAAATCTTGACAAATCAACTATTTAAATTGTGTCTCCGCTGTAATGTTTTTTTAAAGCGAGTATGAATGGGAATAATAAGCACTTCTTTCGGCGGAATAGTAATTCACTTTACTGTATTTGGTTTATTCATTTTCGAAGCCTCTTTCCGTCTGGTCTTCCTTTTTTTAAAAAAAAAAAAATATTGATATACCATCGGCACGTATTCTCACATTCTAGAGCTTTACCGTTTTATTCAATAATTATGTAGCAAAATTCCAACCATTTTAAAATGTTTGACTGGTGTTTTAAATTTACAAAATTCATGTTATTAAAATTTCAAATTGTTGTCATTTTCAATGTTTTATTCTTAATATATCAATAAGATGATGAAATATTTATTGTAACCATTCCCTTTTGCAATTCATTTCAGAAATACAGACCTTTTAAAATCCAAAGGTGACCATTAGAAAAGGTGGAGTGATGAACGAAGAGCCACACAATGACGGTTTGGCCGGTAGTAAAAGAGAAGAACCTGGCTCTAAGAAAGTTTCGAAAGATGATAGTAAAACTGATCAAAATGCTGATAAAACGGACACACGAAAGAAGTGGTATGCACATGGCAGAAGAAGACACACGTCTGAAACTGGATATGTTGGATATAAACAAGGTGAAAATGTGGAAAATGATCTAGGTGCAAGACCAAAGGAGTTTAGACGTCAAACATTTTTTAACAGAAAGTATGAAAGGAGAGGATCACTGGGTAGTAAATTTCAAAGCGACATAACTAACGAGGGAGGAAGATGTTATCTAAATAAAAGCGGTAAGATTGACAGAGCAGAAAGGAAAGAACCTAAAGATTTTAAAACTACAAAAACATATTGTAGGAAAGAAGCACAAGGCGAAAATATTGAAAGACATGTTGACAAACCACAAAGTAACATTGAGGGGAAACCACCTAAATATGTCAAGCCAGGTTTCAATAAAAATAGAAACAAAACACCAACACCAAAGTCATTCAAAGGAAGTAACATATCTTTAAATACTGTTCTTCAAGAACATGGTGATGTAAATAGCACAAACAAAGCAACTGGAGGTCAGTCAATGAAGACAGAAGAAAATGTAATGCACAAGAAAAGAAAGAGCAAAGAGAATGTGAATAAAGTCACTGAACTTAAAAACCATGCAAAGAAGACGTGTCTTTATGTTGTCATTGGTGAAAGAATAATTAATCAAAGTAGCTTAAAAAACTTTCTACTTCATAGAATGGGGAATCCAAAAGCTCTTGAATTTGAGATTGCTGATTCCTATAATATTAACAAAGGGGGTTCTGATCGTAGTATATTATCTTTGAAGTTTGACAGTTACAAGAAAGCATCAGCAGCTAGACATTTGCTAAACAGAAATAATAGGACTGCTGTCGATAAAATAAGGTGTTCCTTCGATAGAGCAGAAGCAGAGGGTGTCGAAATTAATAGTGCTCAACAGAATGAGTGCAAGAAAGAAATTGCATTAAAAGAAATAGTGGCAACAGCTAGGTTTGAGATTGAAAAACACGATGAAAAAATCAATGATATCCGTGTGAAACTTGAAGCTGTTGCTGGGCACCTAGCTAATAAGCGCGGAGTCTCCCTTTTTGAATACGACAAACTATCGAATGAAAAGCTTGCATATGAAGATAAACTGGATGAGCTAGAGAGGCAAAGAAAAGAGTTTACAAGATACTTGCAGAGCATGTCGGTGAAGTTGGAGGCTATTATTAATAATAAATGTGACAAATTTGAACACGAGCTGAAAGAAGTCAGGAAGGCATTTGGTGTGGAATGTCATAGGTTGCAATCTGCTTTACCGATGTACGCCAGGAGAGAAGAAATCCTATCAATCATTAAAGAGAACCAAGTTTGTGTGATACTCGGTGAAACAGGATCTGGCAAGTCAACGCAAATGGTTCAGTACATCTATCAAGCCGGTTTTGCAGGTATAATAGTTCAATTGTAAAATTGACTAATACGATCATATATCTTATAAGATAAACAGACATGTCATTTCTTATGTACATGTACTTTATAAATTTATATACCCAAATATTTTTAATATATGATATGGTTTTCATTTACTTCAAGACCACTTATAGTTGTATGCAAACAAACAACACACTAATGAATGGCGAGTCTAGATACTGTGTTCTTTCCTTGTCATGATGTCACTGCCCTTGCCGTCTGCAAACTTTAACGTTAATCATAATTTTGGTATTTTTAACGGACTGCTTTCATGCTTGGACGTAACAACCTACACTAGATATTGTCCCAAAGTAATAGAAGGCGTGTGCCCTAAGTGAGAAAACAATGGACAGAACTAGACAAAAATGAATTTTGAAAGGGGACTATATCCAAAGGGTGATTTATCACAATTTAGCACAGATTGACATAACTTTGTTAATTTATTTACGAATTTGATTTTTACTTTGAAAACAGATCTTTTATGACAAAACTTGTAGGTTGAATAATGAAAATATAACATTGATTTTTATTCTATCTGTCAAGTTCTTTAAATTTGCTTTAATTTTTAATTTACAGGTAAGATTTATAATTCGACAAAAGAACACAAGACATAAAAATGTCATGTTGATTTATTATGTTATGACATCGACCTTTAATTTGCCTTGACTGTTAAAGACTTTTTATTGAAGTTTACCTTCATCGTTTTAACTGTTATTTATTCTTTGATTAAAGAAAAACTTATATCAAAACTGACATTATGATTTATTCAAATGTGACTTAAATGACCTTGACCGTGAAGGTCATATTATTGCATTTAGTTTAAAATGTTATTAACTTGTTAAAAATTAATTCATGATATATTATAATGGAGAAATTGATACTGGAAAATAGTCTTAACACTACGACAACACCTACATAATGAATTATTTAAGTATGGCCTTGATCTGCAAATGTCAAATGTGGAAATTTAGTTGTATTTGTACAAGAAAATAATGTTTTCTAGGTGTATTATCTACCACAATATTCTTCCTCCTCCGATGACTTTGACTAAAGAAATAAGAAGAAGTTTAGCGCGGCTTATTATTGTAGGTTTGAAAATTTGTATCTATGTTCGCCGCCGTTAAGTTTAAATCCAGTACTTGAACATTAGGTTTGATCTGTATTCATTTTCTTATGTTGCAGGTGACGGGCTAATTGCATGTACTCAGCCCCGAAAGATAGCAGCCGTAAGCCTTGCGTCACATGTATCTTCAGAACTCGCTTCAAGTGTTGGTCAAGTCATAGGGTATAAAGTAGGAATGCAGTCGAAAATGACTGCATTAACAAAAGTAATGTTTATGACTGATCATATATTATTGAACGAATGTTTACAGGATACCATGTTGACAAAGTATTCATGTATCATCATTGACGAAGCTCATGAACGAAGTATACATACTGATTTACTTCTAGGTATGATTAAGGATGCCCTAAATAATAGACCAGATCTCAAGGTTGTAATAACATCTGCAACTATCGATCCAGACATCTTTGTTGACTATTTTGGCGGTTTAGACCTATGCCCTGTTCTTAGGGTGTCGGGTAGAACCTTTCCTGTAGAAGTGTTTTGGGAACAAGATAATGACGTTGACAGTTCGTTTTCAGACGATTATGAAAAGAAAGCACTTAACAAAGCAATCGAAATTCACCAGAATGAGAAAGAAGGTGACATACTTGTTTTTTTGACTTCAGCTGCTGAAACTGATAGGTGTAAAGAAAGGATACTAAGAATGGTCGGAGAAAAAGAAGTTCAGTGCCTGCAGCTTCATGGAAAACTTAAACCAGAAGAACAACAGTTAGTGTTTGCAAATACACCAAGGGGGAAACGGAAAATTGTCTTTGCTACAAATAGCGCTGAAACATCTATAACAATACCAGGCATCAAGTATGTGGTAGATACTGGTGTTGTAAAGGAAATGAGATTTGACCCCAAAAAGAACATGAATTCACTTGACGTGGTACAAGTCAGTCAAAGTTCAGCAGACCAACGCAAAGGTCGTGCCGGAAGAACTTCGTCTGGTGTTTGTTACAGACTGTACACACACAAGATATATAGATCTTTTAAAAAGGCATCAAGCCCCGAAATCTTAAGGATACAAGTGTCACAGGCTTTACTTAAATTGATGGAATTAGGTGTGGATCCGATGAGTTTTGATTATGTTCAGTCACCTTCTCCAATGGCGATGAAATCAGCGTTGGGGGAACTGGAAGAAATTGGTGCGGTTGACACAAAAGGCATATCTGAACTTGGCCGATGGATTGCTAAATTGCCGGTCGAACCAAGGCTTGGGGCTTTAATTAAGAAGGGAATGGATATGGATATAACTTTAGAAACGCTTATAGTTGCATCTTGTTGCAACCAGAGTGGAATATTTTTCAGAATGGGAACACCTGAAGAGAAAAAGGAAGCAGACGCGAAAAAGATGAAGTTTTGTCATCTTGGCGGAGATTTATTGACCATGTTGAATGTTTACAGAGAATGGGATAAAATACAAGAGAAGGCGAAAGGAAAATGGTGTCAAACAAACAGTATAAATGGGAAAGCAATGAAAGGAGTAAGGGACATGATGAATGAGATGGTCTCTGTTATAAAGAAGGACTTAGACTTAAAGATAAAGCATGAGTTTAAAAGCCCGCAAGACTCGGACGCTTGTGTACAAAACCTCATATTTGAATGCATGACATCCAAACTAGCTTATTACCTTGGACATGAAAGCGCAGGATATCTTATTGTCGATAGGCATCAGAGAGTACAGTTACACCCTTCGTCAGCGATTTTATCGCTTGCTTTTCAACCTGGTTGGGTTGTTTTCAATAGAGTTCTGAAAACTTCAGCAGATTTCATGACAGAAGTGACACCTTTGTCTGATGACGTAGTCAAAGATGCAATCATAAAAGGCAAGATTAACGTTGACATGAAATTATTGGAGAATATGAAAGTTAAGCGTGTTCTTAAAGCTCCTGTTGGCAGGCATGTGTTTTGGAAGTTTGTAGGACCTATGCACAAGAACAGGCGTCAGGTTGAAGAAGACATTAGTTTTGCCTGCAACGGATCCTTAATTGTTATAGAAGCTAACAAACAACGTGGTGAAATAAGTTTATTTAGCACAAATGAGTACGCAAAACGAGCTTCTTCCATGCTTCGCTCAATACTAGACGAAGCACCTCAACAGCTTCTTAACGAGTCACGCGAGGAACCAATTGGCCATGACAGAAGTTGCATACGTGCCGTTTTACGAGAAGGTGGTTCTGCGGTTGATATTCTTATGTCAGATGATTATCGGGCAGTTAACATAAAGCAGAAAGACAATGTAATGTTTGACATTAACGAAGAAAGCATCCAAACATTGCTTGAAGATTATGGACCTGTAGAACAGATATGGCAAACAACGGGGAAAAGACAGCAACAAAGTCCATTTTGGGGAAAGGCGACATTTACACACAAATACGATGCTAAATATGCTGTTGAAGAAATAAATGAAGATGAAAATTGCGAATTTAGATTGTTACCAATAATATACGACTCCCAAATATCAGCCCCAAAACAAGGTTACACCATGAAGCTGACATGGTGTAGACGACTGGGAAAGGGACATTGTTTTGTTTATCTTAATCGGCCGGAGGATATGACGCAAATTTTAACGAATGCACCGATGATAAATGGGACATATGTTCAAGTTATGATTTCAAAACAACAGTCAGATTTGTACATAAAAGGATTAGCACGAGATGCGACTGAAGATGAAGTCAGAGATGGACTTGGCAGTGCTCTTGGACTGTCTTCTTACGAATGTAGAAATAGATTTCGCATAATTATTCCTCGTCTCAATGTGCCTATTGATAATAATGAAAAGGACCAAATCCAGAATGAACTTGCTTCGATTATTTCAATGTATGCTGATCGAGACTCATTTCGCGTACACGTTAAGACTTACAAACAGCAGACTGTAACGTGTGTAGCGTTTGTTACTTTTATGAATCCACAGATTTGTTACGACACAGCAAATGCTATGATAGATGATGATGTAGAAATACGGGAACATTGTATTGATGTTCAGTTAGAATGCAAGACGACGGTGCACGTAAACAAGAAGCTGCATGACTTCGTTGGACAGGATTTAACTAGTCTAGTAGACAGATACGTTCGCAAAAAATCATCAACAACTTTGAATATTAGACATCTTAAATCTGGCAATTTCTCTGTGGATATCAATGCGGTTTCACCGCAAAAACTGGCTAAGGCTAAAGTTAAGGTCGAGAATGTTGTCGGAGGGGATACGTTTGAATGCGGGGAAAAAGAAAACTTACAGTTCTTTTTCAATAAGAATGGTCGAGATGAAGCACGACGTATAGAAAAACTAACAAGGACCCTCATTTTTGTTGACGAAAGACAAATGAAAATATCTATACAAGGTCTTGTCCGTAACAGACTTCGAGCCATACAAATGATAGAAGATTATTTATCGGTCCATACACATGCTAAAGAAACAGAAGTTTGTCTAAAAGGGGAAGAAAATCCACCAGGACTTTTGAAAGATTTGATTATTAGATATGGGTTGCGTTTAACAGGACTTAAAGATGAAACTGGCATTTCTAAAGTATCCTTCAACCTACGGTTTCATGAACTAACTCTTATTGGTAAAGAGGAAAATATAATTAAAGCACAAGAACAGATAAAAAGTGTGAGAGCTGACTTGTCAACACGGGGAAATATTAGAATTGAAGACGCAGATTTACCAGATTGTCCTATTTGTTTATGCCCAGTTGAAGAATCTGATATGTGTCGACTTGAATACTGTGGCCATGCGTATTGCAAATGTTGTTTGGCTTCAATGATTCAAAACGCCGTATCAGATCGTGAACTTCCTGTTGTCTGTGCAGCAGAGGACTGCAATAAAGCTCTTGTCATAAGAGATATCAATACGCAAATAAAGATTGGCAATATAAAAAGAAACGCACTTCTTGACTCAGCTGTGGCAGCTTTGGTTATGAAGAAGAGTGAGGAGTATCACTATTGTATAACTCCAGATTGTGGAATAGTTTATCGAGTGACCAAGATTGGTGAAATGTTCAGCTGTCCTGTTTGTCGGGTCAGGATATGTACAGCGTGCCATTTGCCATTCCATGAAGGTATAACATGTGCCATGTACAAGAGTGCTAAACAGAGTGGGGATTCGTTAGTGAAATGGCTGAGAGTTGACCCGAGTAATCGAAAATTATGCCCGAAATGTGGTTTAGGAATCCAGAAGACAGGAGGCTGTGAGCATATGGAGTGCAAATGTGGTGCTCATATATGTTGGAAATGTATGAGGTATTTTAGTAGTAGCGGCTCTTGTTATGGCCATCTGAGCGAAGCCCATAATAGTTTTGTTTAAATAATTATACATGTTGTCAAGTCACTTCACGTTATGTTAAGTGTTATTTAATCTTGAAGTTTAAACATTAAATATTGTAAAAACTATGTTAAAAATAATATAAAAATAAATGTGATCAAGTTTTAATATTCCAACAAATCACTACTTTTCGAAATCGAAAAATATATAGATGTAGCGAAATTGAACGCATCTAATATTTGTATTGATAATCTGCAAGTATTTGTTTGGAAATTATGTATGAACTGCAAATATGAACTGTTCTGTTTTGTAAAGATTATTCCATGATTAAGAAAATAGTGAAAATATTATATATTGTAATGGAATGATTACTTAATCTTTCTTCTTCAGCAGTGTTATAAAAATGTTGAGTAAGCATAAGTTGATTTCAAAAGCAATTTGAGAGTTTTCTTAGTCTATTTCCGATTATATTAGAATTCACCAGATCTTTTTAAATCAAAGATGCAGCAACCATGTTTTTATGTATTAGAACGGAAACACATGTGTTTAGGTAAAAATGCATTTTTGTTACTGTGAGTCCACATAAGAAACAAAATTATTTCTGCCAAAAATTTTCATCAAAATCAAACTAATATCATCTTATGTTAATCAGTCTTTTTATTAATTGATATTTAACATTGCTTTTTAGCTCACCTGAGCTTGCTCAGGGTGAGCTTTTAGGATCGGTGAATGTCCGTCGTACGTCGTCCGTCGTACGTCGTACGTCCACAATTGCTTCTAGTCAATTGCTTGGATGAGTTCCAACATGGGTCATCTCTGATGAAAAACTAGGTCACACGAGCTAAAAATAGAAAAACCTTGTGAACACTCTAGAGGTCACATTTTTGACCCAATCATCATCAAACTTGGTCAGGATGCTTATCTAGGTGATAACTCGAATGGGTTCGAACATGGGTCATCTCGGATGAAAAAGTAGGTCACAGGAGCTATAAATAGAAAAACCTTGTGAACATTCTAGTGGTCCCATTTTGAACCAATCTTCACCAAACTTGGTCAGAATGCTTTTCTAGTCAATTGCTTGGATGAGTTCGAAAATGGGTCATCTCTGATTAAAAACTAGGTAACAAGAGCTAAAAATAGAAAAACCTTGTAAACACTCTAGAGGTCACATTTTTGACTCAATCATCATCAAACTTGGTCAGGATGCTTGTTTAGATAATAGCTCGGATGAGTTCGAATATGGGTCATCTCTGATGAAAAACTAGGTCACCGGAGCTATAAATAGAAAATTCTTGTTAACACTCTAGCGGTCACATTTTTGCATCAATCATCATCAAACTTGGTCAGGATGCTTATCTAGTTGATAGCTTGGATGACTTCGAACATGGGTCATCTCGGATGAAAAAGTAGGTCACCGGAGCTAAAAGTAGAAAAACCTTGTTAACACTCTAGCGGTCACATTTTTGCATCAATCATCATCAAACTTGATCAAGATGCTTGTCTAGGTGATAGCTCGGATGAGTTCGAACATGGGTCATCTCGGATGAAAAACTAGGTCACAGGAGCTAAAAATAGAAAAACCTTGTTAACACTCTAGTGGTCACAATTTTGACTCAATTGTCATCAAACTTGGTCAGGAAACTTGTCTAGGTCATTGCTGGGAATAAATCGAACATGGGACATCTCGGATGAAAAACTAGGTCACAGGAGCTAAAAATAGAAAAATCTTGTTAACACTCTAGTGGCTACTGTTGTGATCCAAATATTTTGTTAATTGGCCTGAAAGTTTGTTTTGATGATTTCTAAGTCAAGATCGAACATGGGTCATCTTGGATGAAAAAACTAGGTCACACCGCCCAAATATGGAAAAACCTTGTTAACATTCTAGTGTCACATTTTTCGACTCAATTATCATCAAACTTGGTCAGGATGCTTGTCTAGGTAATTGCTTGGATGAGTTCGAAGTCGCATGTGAAACTAGGTCACCGGAGCTAAAAATAGAAAAATCTTGTTAACACTCTAGTTGCTACTGTTTTGATCCAAGTATCCTGAAAATTGGTCTGAAAGTTTGTTTTGATGATTTCTAGGTCAAGTTTGTCAAGTGTCACCTGGGTAAAAAACTAGGTCGCACTGCTCAAATATGGATAATCCTTGTTAACACTGTAGTGGTCACATTTTTGACTCACCTGTCATGAGACTTGGTCAGAATGCTTGTCTAGGTAATTGTTTGGATGAGTTTGATAAGTCAGGTGAGCGATCTAGGGCCATCATGGCCCTCTTGTTTATTTTGCCTTTTATTGGATTGAAATTTACATCTGAAAAACATACCCTCTGGTAATTCTCTAATATTCGGAATAATGTAAATATGTAATGATTAAATTACATAGTTTGATTATTTTTGACATTTTATTTAAAAAACTGTAATAGTTTTTGTGTGTATGCTTTTCAATAGAAATGGACTTTATTTTTCTCTTCAACATTTTTATAACCTTTTCTCCTTTGAGTGAAAAATCAGATATTATTTAAGTTGTGCATTTTCTCGTTGTTTTTTTTGTGTTTTTTATTTGGTTTGTTTGTTTATTTTTGTTTGTTTGTTGTTTGTTTTTACTTAATAAACACCGGTTTGTTAAGTAACTAGGATTGCAACGATACAGTTTTTAGCGCGGCGACTTAAAAGGAAATTATTTGTTACCAGTATCAATTTTAAAAACAAATGCTTTGGTAAAATAAAAAGAAAAAAACTCGAGTTGATGTCGTCTGTTATAGATTTAACGACATGCAATGGCAATTCATAAAGGTTTTAACACATTAACAAGACTTAAAATAGTCAAATTACGTAAATGCATATTTTGATAAAACAGAGAGAATTATTAAAAGAAAAAATCGCGATAAGAGGGTTTTGTACCACGGTATGTTTTGCCTGACGGTATATATCGGTATATCGCCATATCGTTGCACCTTTGTAAGTAACATGAACCCTGTTTTATGTATATTTTTGTGTGTTATTTGGCTAATTGCTTTATGTCTTTACATAATAATAAACTATTTGCTGTTGTCTTACTTTATGTAGCTACTTGCTGTCCCATATAATTTTATTAAATATTGCATGGAATGGGGTTGTTATATTTTCAATGGCTAGCTATTCTTTATTAAGAATGGAAGCTTTTAAACATAAAATGTCTTTGGCTATTTGTTTATTACTATTTATCTAAAACTGGAGCTTGTTAACATGAAACATTTCTGCAATTTGTTCTATACATTTTGTTCTAGCTAAGGCTGTTAAACATGAAATGAGCCGCGTCACGACAAAACCAACATAATGGTTTTGCGACCAGCATGGATCCACACCAGCCTGCGCATCCGCGCAGTCTGATCAGGACCCATGCTGTTCGCTATCAGTTTCTCTACTTGTTACAGGGTTTGTGAGCGAACAGCATGGATCTGATCAGACTGCGCGGATGCACAGGCTGATCTGGATCCATGCTGGTCGCAAACGCATTACGTTTGTTTTGTCGTGATGCGGCTCAAATATTGTTTGCTGTTTGTTCTATATAATTTGTTTGTAATAAATTGGGGATCTTGAATATCTTTAATTGTTATATATATTTTGTTTCGTTGTATTAGTTACTGAATGACCTTAAGACATGTGACTGATGTCTGTCTGCATTTATGATTGATAAAGTGATCATAAGCAATTTTACTGCTTAACTAGTGTGAACCTTGAATCTTAATTTACTTGTATAGAACTCAAACTTTACTAGCATGTAAACCTTTAGCTTTACTGGTGTAGAACTACAGTTTTATTGGTATACTCGAGCTTTATCGGTGTACACCTCCAGCTCAACTGTTGTATACCTCTAGCTTTACTGGTGTAGACATTCTGCTTTACTGGTGTAAACTCTAGCTTTACTGGTGTACACCTCGAGCTTTACAGATGTACACCTCAAGCTTTACCGGTGTAGAACTCCAGCTTTACCGGTGTAGAACTTCAGCTTTACCGGTGTAGAACTCCAGCTTTACCGGTGTAGAACTCCAGCTTTACCGGTGTAGAACTCTGGCTTTACTGGTGTTCACCTCAAGCTTTACTGGTGTAGAACTGCAGATTTACCAGTGTATAACTGCAGCTTTACCGGTGTAGAATTTGGCTTTACCGGTGTACACCTCAAGCTTTACCGGTGTAGAACTTCAGCTTTACCAGTGTAGAACTGCAGCTTTACCGGTGTACACCTCAAGCTTTACCGGTGTGGAACTGCAGCTTTACCGGTGTAGAACTTTGGCTTTACCGGTGTTCACCTCAAGCTTTACCGGTGTAGAACTCCAGCTTTACCAGTGTAGAACTCAAGCTTTACCGGTGTAGAACTCTGGCTTTACCGGTGTACACCTCAAGCTTTACCGGTGTAGAACTCCAGCTTTACCGGTGTAGAAGTCCGGCTTTACCGGTGTAGAACTTACTGGTGTTGAGCTCAACTATTATTGGTGTAGAACTACTGATGTATAAGGCTAAGGCTTCCTATGTGCAGAACTTCAGCTTTGCTGATATAGAACAACTTTACCTGTCTAGATTTCCACCTTTACTGGTGTAAAACTCCAGCTTAACTTGTGTGGAACTCCAGCTTTACTGGTATTTAGTCCAATTTTACTGGTGAATAGTTCCAACTTTACATTTCTTGACTTCAGACTATTCTGATGAAGACATCAAGCTATACTGGTGTAGAACTCCAACTGTACAGGTGTAGAGCTCCAGCTTCACTGGTGTAGTGGTGTAAAAATCCTGCTTTTCTCGTGTAAAATTCAGACTTAACCGAATTACAGCTCCAGCTTTATTGGTATAAAATTTAATTTTTACTTGTCTAGACCTCAAGCTTTTATCATGAAGAAATCCAGATTAACTTGTGAGGATCTCCAGCTTTTCTGGTGTAGAACCCCGGCTTTACTGGAGTATAGCTTTAGCTTCTTGGTGTTGAACTCCTGCTTTACCTGTAGTATCTCTGTTATAGAACTCCAGCTTTACTACTTTGAAACTCCGGGAACAATAGTGTAGAATTCAAATTTAATCGTATACTCAAGCTTAACTTAACTAGTGAAGAAATAAGGGCTTTACTCGTGTAGAAGGGGTAAATATTTTACAAGTTATTGTTCTTATTACCACTTTACTCTGTAACACGGGCAAATTAGATCCATAACTATCATATTAATACTTTATTATGATAGAGTCACTTCAAGATTACTTTTTCGTTCTAAGGGAGACAACTTCGTTTTCGAAACAATATTTAATTTTTAAGAGTTTTGCCGTAGCAAATTTCAATGTTGAGTATATTAAAGAAATACATATGATGTTACTATTTTTGTTATTTTTATATATAGTTCTTGGCAAGTAGTGTTTATCAATAAAGTACCATTTCTTTTATGAGAATAACATTTTTGGCAGTTTCCAGAAAAGAATAGTTTAAAGCTTTAAAAAATCACCAATCTCAATTGACACATCTACAAGTTTTATCTCTGCAACTGCCTTCTAAAAACATTTAATTTATTGCTGTTTAATAAGAACGATTCGTTATTATAAGCAAGATTATGACAGGAAAAAAGGTCAAAGTTGTATGAAGACTACCGCTGACTACGGCGTTATGAGTTCGGTGGTTAAGGTTATTTTGAATGTAGACTATCGCTGACTACAGCGTTATGAGTTTGGTGGTTTAGGTTAAAATTGTATGAAGACTACTGTTGACTACGGCGTTATGAGTTTAATGGTTAAGGTTAACTTTGTATGAAGATTACCGCTGACTACGGCGTTATGAGTTTGGTGGTTAAGGTTAATGTTGTATGAAGACTGTCGCTAAATATGGCGTTATGAGTTTGATGGTTGAGGTAAAAATTGTATGAAGACTACCGCTGACTACGGCGTTATGAGTTTGGTGGTTATAGTTAAAGTTATATGAAGACTACCACCTTCTTCGGCGTTATGAGTTTGGTGGTTCAGGTAAAAGTTGTATGAAGACTACCGCTGACTACAGAGTTATGAGTTTGGTGGTTAAGGTTATCATTGTATGAAGACCACCGCTGACAACGGCGTTATGAGTTCGGTGGTTTAGCTAAAAGTTGTATGAAGATTACCGCCGACTATGGCGTTAAGAGTCGCTGGTTAAGGTAATTATTGTATGAAGACTACCGCTGACTATGGTGTTGAGTTTGCAAGTTGAGGTAAAAGTTGTATGAAGACTACCGCTGACAACAGCGTTTTGAGTTTGGTGGTTAAGGTAAAAGTTGTATGAAGACTTCCGCGGACTATGGCGTTGAGTTTGCAGGTTGAGGTTAGAATTGTATAAAGACTACCGCTGACTATGGCGTTATGAGTTCGGTGCTTGAGGTAAAAGTTGTATGAAGACTACCGCTGACTACAGAGTTATGCGTTTGGTGGTTAAGGTTATTATTGAATGAAGACTACCGCTGACTACCGCGTTATGAGTTTTTGAGGTAAAAGTTGTATGAAGACTTCCGCGGACTACGGCGTTGTGAGTTCGGTGCTTGAGGTAAAAGTTTTATGAAGACTACCGCTGACAACGGCGTTTTGAGTTTGGTGGTTAAGGTAAAAGTTGTATGAAGACTACCGCTGACAACGGCGTTTTGAGTTTGGTGCTTGAGGTAAAAGTTGTATGAAGACAACCGCTGACAACGGCGTTATGAGTTTGGTGCTTAAGGTAAAAGTTGTATAAAGAATACCGCTGACAACGGCGTTTGAGTTTGGTGCTTGAGATAATAGTTGTATGAAGACTACCGTAGACAACGGCGTTATGAGTTCGTTGCTTGAGGTAAAAGTTGTATAAAGAATACCGCTGACAACGGCGTTTTGAGTTTGGTGCTTGAGGTAATAGTTGTATGAAGACAACCGCTGACAACGGCGTTATGAGTTCGGTGCTTGAGGTAAAAGTTGTATAAAGAATACCGCTGACAACGGCGTTTTGAGTTTGATGCTTGAGGTAATAGTTGTATAAAGACTTCCGCGGACTACGGCGTTATGCATTTGTATCGTTTACTGAATTACATACGTCCACTTTTTATTTGGGTGACAGCAGTAGCAGTATGAGCAGTGATCGTATAAATAGCGGCGTGGTTGTACTTTCTAGTGATGGTGTTAATTGCAATAAAAGTAGTAATGGTAGTAACAAGTTATAGAAAGTGTAGTAACAGCTGCAATAATGGCGGTACACGTTTTCTTTGCTATTATTTTATTTATTTGCCAGATTACATACAATTCCTATAAATTCTATATAAGTTTAATGAACCTTTGAAGTGGTATATAGTGAAACTTTGCATTTATATAGATCGTGATACAATATTCTGTAATGTTTATCTGGTTAATCAAAGCGAAACCAAAGCGAAACAATACTAATGACTTCGGAACTTTTCGTTTGGATCACTATCTTTGCTTTGTTTTATACAAACGTATTTTGGAATTCAGCTGTTGCCAACAACGCATGGTGACAACATCCTAGAATTGAGAAAAGGTGAATATCAATGCATGCTAATCTATCAGATAATGGACATCATATGATGTGCCTTGTTCGTGCCGTTTTTTATGATAAATGTTTATGACTAGCAAGAATAGATTTATACATTGTCTGTAAAACCCGGTATACAACATTATAATATATGTTTATGACTGGTTAGAATAGATTTACAAATGTATACTTAGTGTGTAATACCGGTATCCAACAAATGTTGTTTACTTAGTCTTGAAATCATTTTTTTTATAAAAACACCAACACTAAGATATTTTAAACAACCCAAAAATGCTTCATTTCCTTTTTTATGATCGATAATAGAATATCCTTTTATATAACCACTGTTAATGCATAAAGGATAAGTCTGCTTACATCGTATATATCCAGTAACGAATTAATTTGCAAATAACATAGAAAGTGTGCAAAATTAACGCATATCTTGGATTGTGCAATTCTATAGCGACACCGAGCACTACACCAGTGCTTTTTATTGTACATCAATAGAAAGAGATGAGCTAGCGCATACGGTTGCTGAGACAGTATATTTTGAACATCATCAAAAACATTACATGACAGTGTTAATTTTTGAACATCATTCGTGAGAATGACGACCTGGCTTAAAATAATTGCATGTTGAATGCGAATAAGAACGTATTGATTACATCATGATGTATTTGAGACATTTGCATACCTGCTTGTGTCATATTACACTTATATTACAGATACAGTGTGACTGAGATACAGATGCCATATTTACAAGGCAAAGTCGTGAATGATACATCAAAGCAACAGTTGTCACCTCATAAAAAGTACCTGAATCATATTTTATATGTGTCCTATTTTTATATTGTATCATAGTTTGTGGAACCTTTCTGTTGAAAATGTGTCAGAGTTAAATCGTATACATATACATGCACTGTGCGTTAACTGGAGTGCAGGTATTAGTTACCCGCACTCCAGAGCATGCCCATTGATTTTTTGCTGGGGTTTACTTATTGTGGCGGCAGGGAAAGAAAAAGCGATAGTAATATCATATTCAGATGCTCGTTGATTTGTTTCTTTTTTTCTGGTGTTTCATATTGTGACAACTGGGGACGTGTTTTTATGTTTGACTATGATACAAAAGAGAAAGAACATCAAAACACTCGGCAATCTGAATAATACTCGGGGGCTACGCCCCCTCTTACAAATCAGATAGCATAATGTTTCGATGCTCTTTCTAAAACTTATACCTGTCTAAATGTTCAAGGTATACCGAGTAAGAAATCAAAATAAAATCTAAAATGCGTTTTTTACTTATTAATATCGAATGAATACAAAAGGGTAGCCAGGTCATCATTTTAATATGTAGAAATATTCCTGCAAATATTTGTAATGCTGATTAGGGCATGATGTCATAGCAGCCGTATGGGTTTATTTACTTCACGCCGTTAACTTACCCTGTTACTCGTTTCGGTCATAGTTTTTCGCAGTTTCGGCGTTACTTTTACGTTAAAGCTACATGCCTCCAGATGAGTCAAACTATTTCAATAAAATCAAACTTGAGAAATATGTACTACGATTTTTGTAAAAGGAATATGATTCAAGATTCATGTAAAATTTTACATGTTATGCGTGGTAAATGACTAATTTTTCAGTATTTACCACTATGTTTCTATTGTGTATCTAACACAGTAGGGGCTATTTATGCATATTTTGGCATTTTTTTTTTTTGTAATTTATGTGGGTTGTAAGTGCCATTGATAATGTGTAAATTGCTTCCTTTTGGTTATTTCACAATATTATAAATTCAAATTCATTTTCAAAATTTTCATGAAAATTAGTGTCAATCTAGAGGCATGCTGTTTTAATTGCACATAACAGCGTCAATACTTTATATGTTTGTGTTACACTAGGGAATGTAGTATATACACGGTTTATAATTTCAGAAGATACTTTATCTTTGTCCATATACAAAATGTAATAGCAACTGATCGAGGCGTATATTCAATTTATAATTTGTTATAAGGATTTTTGGTTCTAATAAAATTCTTAATAAATGAATATGAACAATATATAAATCGCCGATCATGGCACAAATAAAAAGTTGTAAAAATTGACTTTTCAAGCGTCTTATCAAGATTCTATTTGTTCTCGTCAAACTGAGTTATGTGAGTCTTTTATCATAATGGCTTAAATTGCTATTGCAGAACTTCAACAAAATATATAAATAATAAATGCATAATCTTAATGTAGAGCTGAACGAATAAACTATTCAAGGACATTTTCATGAAACGAGGACAGTTTTCATGTTCATATAAATCAAACGATCATTCCGTGTTCTCGTGTAAAAGTACAGTCTGATGCTACATTTTACTGTGAAAAGTGCAAACATTAATGTCTGTCTGGCTTAGATTATAACAAAAGATTTTCCATAATTAAATCGTTGCAAAACAAATGCTTTATGTTCATTCATTCTCGTATCATTCCATCAGACAATCATCATCATCATCATTAACAGCAGTTTGATTCAACATCTATAAAAGCAATAGATGTTTCCATTTGCAAATCATCGAAGAAGGACCGGTTCCCGAATCAACATGGTATGTTAAGCTTTTCATCAATTTATTATGTCTTTATATATCATTTTGTAAAATTTATACTTTATTGCGTATAAATAAATTCTACTTTATTTATACTATGATAGTGTCTTTATTACTACACGTACTTTCTAAGTTATGACAGAGTTAAGAAACATGTCACACAATTGCTTATTTATTATGCAGTCTCGTCAATTTCATTTGACGGTCATGAATTTTATATTTCTAATATACACGCACGGCATCAGCAGAACATAGCTCTAGGTCTGTATCAAATCATAGGGAGTAGGTCTGTATCAAATCATAAGGAGTAGGTCTGTATCGAATCATAGGGAGTAGGTCTGTATCGAATCATAGGGAGTAGGTCTGTGTCAAATCATAGGGAGTAGGTCTGTATCGAATCATAGGGAGTAGGTCTGTATCAAATCATAGAGAGTAGGTCTATATCAAATAATAGGGAGTAGGTCTGTATCGAATCATAGGGAGTAGGTCTGTATCAAATCATAGGGAGTAGGTCTGTATCGAATCATAGGGAGTAGGTCTGTGTCAAATCATTGGGAGTAGGTCTGTATCAAATCATAGAGAGTAGGTCTGTGTCAAATCATAGGGAGTAGGTCTGTATCGAATCATAGGGAGTAGGTCTGTATCGAATCATAGGCAGTAGGTCTATATCAAATAATAGGGAGTAGGTCTGTATCAAATCATAGGGAGTAGGTCTGTATCGAATCATAGGGAGTTGGTCTGTGTCAAATCATAGGGAGTAGGTATGTATCAAATCATAGGAGTAGGTCTGTGTCAAATCATGGGAGTAGGTCTGTATCAAATCATAGGGAGTTAGGTCTGTATCAAATCATAGGGAGTTAGGTCTGTGTCAAATCATAGAGAGTAGGTCTGTATCGAATCATAGGAGTAGGTCTGTGTCAAATCATTGGGAGTAGGTCTGTATCAAATCATAGAGAGTAGGTCTGTGTCGAATCATAGGAGTAGGTCTGTATCAAATCATAGGGAGTAGGTCTGTATCGAATCATAGAGAGTAGGTCTGTATCAAATCATAGGGAGTAGTCTGTATCGAATCATTAGGGAGTAGGTCTGTGTCAAATCATAGAGAGTAGGTATGTATCGAATCATAGAGAGTAGGTCTGTATCAAATCATAGGGAGTAAGTCTGTATCGAATCATAGGGAGTAGGTCTGTATCAAATCATGGGAGTAGGTCTGTGTCAAATCATAGGGAGTAGGTCTGTATCAAATCATAGAGAGTAGGTCTGTGTCAAATCATTGGGAGTAGGTCTGTATCAAATCATAGAGAGTAGGTCTGTGTCGAATCATAGGGAGTAGGTCTTATCGAATCATAGGCAGTAGGTCTGTATCAAATAATAGGGAGTAGGTCTGTATCGAATCATAGGGAGTAGGTCTGTATCGAATCATAGGGAGTAGGTCTGTGTCAAATCATGGGGAGTAGGTCTGTATCGAATCATAGGGAGTAGGTCTGTGTCAAATCATTGGGAGTAGGTCTGTATCGAATCATAGGGAGTAGGTCTGTATCGAATCATAGGGAGTAGGTCTGTATCGAATCATAGGAAGTAGGTCTATATCAAATAATAGGGAGTAGGTCTGTATCAAATCAAAGAGAGTAAGTCTGTATCAAATCATAGGGTGTAAGATAGTTTCAAATCATAGAGAGTAAGATAGTATCAAATTATGAGGAATATAGTTGTAGCAATTCATAACCAGAATGACTTATCAAATCATAGGGAGTAGGGCTGTATCAACTCATTGGTGTAAGATAGTATCAAATTAAAAGAAAATAAGATTGTTTCAAATCTTGGAAAGTAAGGCTGTATCAAATTATAGCGTCCAAGACAGGTTACGAAATCAAAGGGCTTTAGACACTATCTAAAGTTTGTTACTAGCCTGTATAAAAAGCTCGGCAAAGGAAAACAAACCATAAAGCACATGGCTGTTTCAAATCATTTGTCAAAACAACAGCCATAAGTTTCTAGTGATGAAAACATACATACGGAACTTTATATAAAGTTATTTACTTAATGTAATTTTGCAGAATTTAGAATCAGTCTGTTATTCTTGTTATCAGCTAGTTTGGTTGAAATATTTACTATGTCTCTGATAAGTCTAATCGAGTTAGAAATAAGTGGATGTTAATATCTTTTGTTTCATGTAGTCAAAATGCTATATGGATTTCAAGTCAACAAATTTGTAACATAATAAGTGTTTCTTTAACTTTGTATTCTTTTTTATTACAGATGTCATTAAGTTTCCTCGTCTTTATGTGTGTAGCCGTAAATGTCTTCGGGTAAGTTTTACCTTTCTTATTTTGTTCGATATTCTTGTCTAAAAGAGGAATTTTCCCTTATTCTTTTGTATTTCTGAAATTGATTTGCCAAGGTATGACTTTGGGACAATCCATTTAAAGGTTCTCCACTGAGATTTTTGACAACTTATGACTGGAACAATAGCATGTGTTCAAAATAATCATTTTAATGTGCAAAATGTCACAAAAATGAAAAAGAAAAAGAAACCGAGTAATCCCTCTGCGTGTATAATCTTTTGCAAATTTTTCTGTTTTCTGCTTCAGTTTATCATTGTAAGAGTTTTAAATTTGTTTCGAACGATTTTTGGCCTTTAGACTTCACTATCATAAATAATCTTATCCGAAATTTGACGGAAAGAGCTGAGATGATGCGATTGACGTACATGTAGAAACGGCATGTATTGTTCAAGCTTTTTTCTTGATAGTAACGTTTAAAACAAATATCTCACGTTTGAAACAAATGTATTTACATGTTAAAACATCCATTTTAGGACCTTTCAGTTTTCACAATCACTGAGCGACAAAAGCTAAACGAAATAAATGAAGCAGAAAATAAAATGTTTTTGCATCAGGCTATTCCTAATTCGTAACATTGTTAAAGAGAAAAGCAGACTGATAGAATTGAGCACATGTAATCTATTAAATTTTGTCTGAAGTACATTACAACTAAACAATGAACCAAGGCCGTAATTCCTTGTAACATCACTGTAACATCTGCTCAACTCAATAACAATGTAACGACTATATGTAGGTTTTAGCAAAACAACGTAGGTCTTTGCATGCTGAGATATTGTCGTCTGCTTAACATGCTTGCTGTCTTCTTGATTTTATAATTTCATCCAAATCTATCCAAATAAAAAATAACCATCAAGGAGCTTGACACTGTACCTGACAAGTCGTAGTATCTGACAGGTCGTAGTACCTGACAAGTCGTAGTACTGACAAGTCGTAGTACCTGACAAGTCGAAGTACTGACAAGTCGTAGTGATACTCGAAGCCTGGTCTGGTACCAAACTCTTTGCAAAGGCTATTGTGGTTGCTCCATTTATAAAAAAAACGGATTTATGTATGTAGATATCTTACGTTCATGGATTCATTATAAAATAATGATAATAATGATATGTGTCTAATGCTGCTGACTATGAATGATGAACTATTGCAGTGGGTTTACAAACCAAGAGAAAGCAGAGATGGTATATAATGCCATGGATCTTTGGTTTGTGAATGACAAACTTGGAGGTAGAGAGCGTGCGTTCTTCTTTAAACGCATGGATTGTGATGGTAAGGGTTTTTATTTCAAATGTTTTATTTAATTTTTTTTTATAAATTCTTTACCAACGAACAGGTCAAAATGAGCATGAAAGTTCTAAATGAGCATTATTTTACGTTGGCGCCCGATAGATTTTTACACATTGTTATATGGTAGATCTGTTACTAGAATTTCGTTAAAAGCTGCATGTCAAAATATTTTTTAAAAATCAAAATTAAATAAAACGTATTATAAGAATTAATAAAAAGTAAAAAAATTCAAGATTCAAGAAACAATTTTCATGTTATATGCGAATAATGACTGATCATCTGTCATCATATTTCTACGGCGCGACTAACGCATAAAGGGCATAAAATTTTTGCATATTTTGACCTCTTTTGAGTAGTTTACGTGTATTGTACGTGTGAAATACTTTCTGTTTACTTCATAATATTTTATTTTTAAATACATTTCAAAAAAAATCATGAAAATAAGCATGAATCTGGAGTAAGCTACGCAACGTTTAAAACTTTGTATGTACAGTAGGCAACTCGGTCGGGTCGGGTTTTACGCACCAACACTGTCAATGTGTTTGGTGTCATTGGATGGAGAGTAGAGCCACCGATGTTCTTTAAGCTAGCTGAACAGCTTTCTCACATGTTCGGAGCTATTGTCATCTGCTGAATTCGAACCCATATAGGTGAGGAGCATGTGGTTGACTCAACAAACGCCCCTAAATGTTTTTATAGAAGATTTTTTTTTCATTTTTATAATGAAATTATCGTTGATCTGTTAGCATGCTGCTTTCTGTACTGAGTCCATGAAGATAAAACGATTAAACACTTATTCCTTGAGTTTCGTATGCAATTCCATACTTATTTTAGAACGCTAATTTTTTATCAGTAAATTAAATACTAATTTGGAAATTTATTTTCAATACTTTATAACAGGAAACGATGAAATTTCGGAAGCTGAATCATTCTGTGTTGGTAAGTTCTTAGAGGTAGGTGACACACTGTGGACCTTTCTCACAAGTGCCGATTCAAACAGTGACAAACTTCTTACCCTAGATGAATACAAAGCTTTTTGGGATGTCTGGGATTTCAATGGTTTGTCGATTTATTTCAAAATATCATTAAAATGATTTATCAACAGTGTGCCAACAATGTCCTACCTAATTTGATAAAATTTAAAAAAAAACATTACGTTAGATGGTAATAAAATGCTTAAACTAAAACATATCTTAGGGTTTGTTCTTTGTAAAATGCATTTACCAGCGCCGTAAATGACCAAGGTCAACCGAACAGAGTCTATGACATTTTCAAGTTGTCTTTGTTTAGCGTGCTTTGGGGTTTTGACATTCATTTGTTTTTAATTTATTGAATTATTAGCGAAGTTTCATTTGATATTTTTACTTGTAATTTATACACACAGTTAACAACAGAATAACTTGGAACGAGTTCGAGTCTGCATGGAACGCCACTAACTTTGACACAGCTGCTTAAACGTTCAACGCCAGTGAAAACTGTCAGCTGACAACGTTAAATGACCGGAAATGACCGTTGTCAATATTTATTTTATTAAACTTAGCAAAACTTATTATGTGTTTTGTCATCATCATCATCATCATCAAGATTCCTCATTAAACGCTTATGATGCATACATTAATTTATAATGACAGTAATATTAGCAGTCAGCATATCCCATGGTTCAAGAAAGGGTATTAAACTAGGCGCCAAAAGCTTGAAAACGTATCCCCAGAAGCTTAAAATGTATCCCTAGAAGTGTAGTATCTAAAATGTGTCCCTTGACTTCGCACACCAAATCTATACTATTCACCAGAATTCCGGCTCTCATGGTCATAACTCTCCAAGCTGTTTTCGTGCGTTCTTATCTAGAGTGCATACTTTTTTGGAAATTGATAAATGATACCGGTATTTTATTTATCATACCATATCATTTCCATAGAATATAGACCCTTGTCAATTAACAAAACACAATAGGAAAAGGTAAATAGGAATTACATTTTAGTACGAAAGTTAAAAACAGATCGGAGCTCAGTATGAGCAAAGAAAAAAAAATGAAATCCTATTCAAATGCGTATGCATCGACTGCACAAAACTACGTTTTACTTTAAATGGGAGCGATGCCCGCCACCTGTGTAAAACGATCAATTTATATACAATAACAAAACCATATATATTTATGATTTGTCCTTAAACGGCTTATTCCGGTGTACAATGTATCAAAAGTTATATGGGATAAAATGTTAAATGGGTTATCATCAATGTAACGGCAATTGAGTTGAAACCAAGCGGCCAAGGACAAAATAAGAAATGTGTGACATGACAAAAATTAAAATAAATTACAGCATCATATCGACTAAGCAAATGATGGTCCCAGTTAGTTTATTCTTCAAGGACGCATGTTAATTATATAAGAGGATAATTTTTTTCTGTGGCAGACTATAGTTTATTTCATCGAGTGAAACCCATGTCAATATTAATTTGTCAACATATGGTGTTCACGTGATGAAATAACTTATTATAGAAAGAAACAAATTTTCTTTTTATTTTATGCATACTTTAAAGAAAATATTTGATGAATAATAAACGGAATAAAGTAAGAGGGGTTCAATTGAAAAAGAAGTTCCGTCTAACTGTGAAAACAACTCAACCAAAATGGTAAATTCACTGTTTTGAAACAGTGAATTTTGAATTTGAATTCACTGAAAAATTTCTATAATTCATTAGTTAGCATAAAATAAATGTACATTGTACCTGTTTAACACGTAAAATCATGTGACCAAAATATTTGGAAAATATTTCTAATTCTTATAACAAACTAGATCAAGATATACTTATATTTAAAAGGAACTTTAGAAGACTGTCAATAAACTATACAAGTGTTGACATGATCGAGTAGTAATTTAAGGATCACTAGAAGCAAGGGTTCAAACCCTGTCATGTCCAAATCGTTGTTTCCAAGAGGAGAAAACTTTACACTCATTTTTCAGTACTGGTTTGTTCCAGAAACAGATTCGAGAATGTGCCGCTATACAACCGAACTAAAAAAACATCTGTGTAAAGTAATAAACTATACTAATGCAGGAACGTATGTATACTCAATATAGGCAGCTTCACTATGAAACATGGAGAAAGTATGCCGAATGGATCTTAATTTATAAAGTGGTAACCATCTTAAAAATCAAGGTCAGTAATTGTTTATGAAATTGTTCTCAAGTTATCGTGCAGAAACCACGTGTTATACTGACCAACAGACTCACATTTACAAAACTATACCGTGGGGGATAAATATTGACAAAAGATAATCATCAAACTTCAAAGTTCACAGTATTTCTTTTTAAATAAGAGCTTAGAAAGTATAAAATAATAATGCAATATAAGAGTTAAATATATAAAATTCTTTTATTTGGAAAAAACCTTTATCATTGATATAGAAAATATCAATAACCATACATACATAAATTATCCAATGAATGAAATTTGTAATTACAACATAACTTACAAGTTACTGCAGATGCACAAGAAATAAAACAGATCAACATTGTAAAACTATTAAAACTATACTAGCTTTATCAACACTGTAGAACTTTTATATTCACAATATATTAGTCTACTTGAAGGATCATAAACTGTCATGATAAACAATATCCCGAGTGAGTAACGCACATGAAGGTCAATTAGTTATCCTAGATAAGGTTAGAAAAAGCTTATGACAAACATATCTTTATATGATGGGCACAGGCTTTTTTAGGTAACAACAATTTATTATCATATAACTTCAAAATGATTCAATTCATAATAATGACAGATAACCACTTAAGTTCAGCTCCTAGAGCTCATGAAAGAACCAGAAATAGTTACAACTAAAATGTTTCACTGTGCACTTCTCCTTGTCGCCATTATATGCATTCTTGTCTTGAATAATTCTGGATTCATACTACGGACAATCAAATCACAAACTGTGAAGAACACATGGCGTTGCTGTATACCCCCACACAATTTATCAAGATAAATGAATAAACAAGAGGGCCAACATGGCCCTAGAGAAACCTGACCCATTGAGCTCATACAAGCAATTACTCCTGACCATGTTTGATGAAAATTGGGTCAAAAAAGTGACCTCTATAGTATAAACAAGGTGTTTTAATATTTTGGCTGAGTGACCTAGTTTTTGACCCAAGGTGACCCGCATTCGAACTTAACCTAGAAATCACAAAAACACACTTACAGACCAATTTCTGGGATATTTGAATACCAACAGTAGCCACTAGAGAGTGAACAAGAATTTTCTATTTTTGCTCCTGCTACGGCAATGTAAGATTGGTGGTTGAGGTAAAAGTTGTATGAAGACTACCGCTGACAACGGCGTTATGAGTCTGGTGGTTAAGGAAAACGTGTTATGAAGACCATCGCTGACTATGGCGTTATGAGTTCGGTGATTAAGGTAAAAGTTGTTTGATGACTAACGCTGACTATAGCGTAATGAGTTCGATAATTAAGGTCAAAGTTGTATGAAGACCATCGCTGAGTACGGCGTTTAGAGTTTGGTGGTTAAGGTAAAAGTGTTATGAAGACCACCGCTGACTACGGCGTTGTAAGTTCGGTGATTAAGTTTAAAGTAAAAAATATATGAAGACAACCGCTTACTACGGTGTTGTGAGTTTGGTAGTTAAGGTTAAAGTTGTTTGAAGACCACCGCTGACTATGGTGTTATGATTTCGGTGATTAAGGTTGAAGTTATATGAAGACCATCACTGAGCACGGCGTTTAAAGTTTGGTGGTTAAGGTAAAAGTTGTATGAAGACTTCCTCTGACAACAGCGTTGTAAGTTCGGTGATTAAGGTTAAAGTTGTTTGAAAACTGCCGCTGACAATGGCGTTATGGGTTTCTTTGATTAAGTTTAAAGTTATATGAAGAATACCGCTGACTACGTCGCTGTGAGTTTGGTGGTTAAGAAAAAACAAGAATGAAGACTACTGCAGACTACTGCAGACTACGGCGTTTAGAGTTTGGTGGTGGTGGTAAAGGTATAAATTGTATGAAGACCACCGCTGACTACAGCATTATGAGTTTGGTGATAAAGGTAAAATTTGTAAGAAGATTACCGCTGACTAGGGCGTTGTGAGTTTTGTGGTAAATGTAAAAGTTGTATGAAGGCAACTGCTGACTACCGCCTTATGAATTTGGTGGTTAAGGTAAAAGTAGTATGAAGACTTACGATGACTACGGCGTTATGAGTTTTGTGGTTAAGGTAAAAGTTGTATGAAGACCACTGCTGACTACTGCGTTATGAGTTTGGTGGTTAAGGTAAAAGTTGTATAAAGACAACCGCTGACTACAGCGTTATGAGTTTGGTGGTTAAGGTAAAAATTGAATAAAGACCACCGCTGACTATCGTGTTATGAGTTCGATTTTTAAGGTTTAAATTGTATGAAGACCACCGCTGACTATCGTGTTATGAGTTTGATGGGTAAGGTTAAAGTTATAGGAAGACTGTCGCTAACTAATGCGTTATTAGTTCGGTAGTTAAGGTTAAAATTGTATGAAAACTATCGCTGACTACGGCGTTATGAGTTTGGTGTGTGAGGTTAATGTTGTATGAAGACCTCCTCTGACTACGGCGTTATGAGTTCGGTGCTTGAAGTAAAATGAGTATGAAGACTACCGCTGACTTCAACATTATGAGTTTGGTGGTTGAGGTAAAAGTTGTATGAAGACTACCGCTGACTACGGCGTTATGAGTTCGGTGCTTGAAGTAAAATTAGTATGAAGACCACCGCTGACTTCAACGTTATGAGTTTGGTGATTGAGGTTAAAAGTTGTATGAAGACTACCGTTGATTACGACGTTATTAGTTTGGTGGTTAAGGTAAATGTTGTATGAAGACCATCCCTGACAACCGCGTTGTGAGTTTGGTGGTTAAGGCAAAAGTTGTATGAAGACCATCGCTGACTACTGCGTTAAGAGTTTGGTGGTTAAGGTAAAAGTTGTATGAAGACTACCGTTGACTACAGCGTTAAGAGTTTGCAGGTTCAGGTTAACTTGTATGAAGACTGCCGCTGACAAGACAACAGCGTTATGAGTTTGGTGTTTAAGGAAAAAGTTTTAAGAAGGCAACCGCTGACTACGACGATATGAGTTTGGTGTCTAAGAAATAATTGTATGAAGACTACCGCTGACTACTGCTGTATGAGTTTGCAGGTTCAGGTTAAGTTGTATGAAGACTGCCGCTGACAAGACAACAGCGTTATGAGTTTGGTGGCTAAGGAAAAAGTTTTATGAAGGCATCCGCTGACTACGACGTTATTAGTTTGGTGTCTAAGAAAAAAATTGTATGAAGACTACCGCTGACTACTGCTGTATGAGTTTGGTGGTTGAGGTAAAAGTTGTATGAAAGCCACGGCTGACTTTGGCGTTATTGGTTTGGTGGTTAAGGTAAAAGTCGTATGAAGACCACCGCTGACTACGGCATTATGAGTTTGGTTGTAAAGATAAAAAAAAGTATGAAGACTCCCGCTGACAACAGCTTTATGAGTTTATTTGTTAAGGTAAAAGTAGTATGAAGACTATCGC